ATGAAGTAATAATTCATTGGGCTTTGGCCCCTTTTCCCTCTTCCTTGATCATGATATACACAAAGTGTATATTCGAGGTATACACCATGTGTACCGCTAATTCTCGAACTCCCGGACCTGTAATTTTATTTTAACTATGTATTTCCACATTTTCCACCTGTATTTTCACGTTTTTCCCAGTATATCACCATTTTCGCCATGTATACCAGTGTATACAAGCTGTGTTTCAGCTTGTTTTCAAGTTTCCGGAATTTGAAAACTCAATTTCCAGCCCGTATCTATCGTCTTCCACCTGTATACATGCCTCTTTAATTTTTCATGATGGCTGACTCGATGAAGAGAGGGTATTGGGGCCTTTAGGGCCCATCCGAAATGCACACGGGAAAAGCCTAAGTCCCAAAGGACTCATTGATAGATTACATGTATCACAACAAAGAAAAAGTAAGGATTAACGTGCAATCCAATCACAATAAATATTGAAAGGAATAGACCAATTTATGTATAAAAAAAAGAAATAGTGACCCAAGCAAATTAACATATAATCTCATAAAGGAAATCATAGAGAGGTATACCGACAACTAATCCACTTTAAAGGAAGTGATTAGGAAAGTCATGACCGCTTCACACAAACACCTCAATATTGCCATTTAGCCACATACTCACAAAAAAAAAATAGTAAATCACCATCAATTATTTTGATAACCAAAGGTGCAAATGACAACAAGCACACAAGATAATTGCGTTAGCCAAGGAAATAAGATGTGGAATCATAAAAACGACACAAAATGACCAAGTCATGCTAGCATGCTTACTGGACTTATACCCCAAACAAAAAGGAAAATAAACAAATTTTATACTACTATAAACTTGGAACAAAATAAGAACAAATTTAAAATGATCATGGCAACATTACTGCCAATGGCTTTCGTGTCAACAAGTTAAGGAAAATATAACTTAAAATGCTCCACCTAAAAACATATAGATTATTAAGTTGATCAAATTGCTATTGGTTTTAACATTTTAATATGCTAACCGAACTAAGTAAAAGAAAAATAAAATAAAATAAAAAAATATTGAAGAAACCATGTATCAATTTTAACAACCATAGGAGCATACTAAAAATGAACAAACGAGCAAAGCCGAGAGGATGGCTACGCATTCACGATACTACATACTCGCAATTTATCGAAAATAAGCTAGAAGTTGGTACTGAAAACAAGCAAATGAGGCAGATTTATTGTGAACAAAAAACAAAGAAACAACATGGAGGACAACAAAGGGAATGCATTAAGATCGTTAGCAACAAGGTTTAGCAAATGCGAAATATTAACAAGCAGACTAAGGTTCTCAGCCTTAAAGGCGGGCAATACGAAGGAGCGAATAAAGCAGTAAAACAATCAATTCATATGACTTATATGGGTTTAAGCAACAGGAAGAAAAAACAACATGTATATGTATATATCAACTTTTGAAAAATCGAAATCACCTATAGAAAGTGACGTCGACCTTCGGGACTGAACCATAACTTTCACAGCTTACCAGTCGAGAAGATAACGAAGTAAGAAGATTCTAACAATGAGAAAGCAAGAACTCGGGACCAAGGGGAAACAACAAACCTTCAAAGCAAACGAAAGAGAAGAAAACAAGCAACAAAATGGACTAACTAACGAGATTTATTACTGATTCGTAGCCGACAAACGAGTAAAAAATGATCCCAAAAAATAACATCTGAACGGCTCCACAGAGTCACAAATCAAACAACAACACGTTAAAGTAGAATGCTTGGGTTGAAAGAGGAGTATTACCTTCAGGGGTGCGGCGAACGGGACGGTAGCGAGCAAGACGAACTCTTTCACCACACAAATTCGGATCTCGAGCAGCTGACCACCAAAATGCGAACCAAACGCAAACAAAGGTTCTCCCACGAGTTAGGATTAGAGGAAAGTGAATATAATTTCTTGAGTTTAGGAGTTACTGTTCGAAAGAAAATTCAGCCCCTTTTTTTACTTAATTCTCCAACTGAAAAATCTCTTTCAAAAATCTCCCCCCTCCCCTTGATACTGAAACAGTAAAGTCTTATATAGAAAGGAGCTAGGGTTTGAGGGGGGAAAGGGCTGAAATTTGGATGGAAAGGGCCTAATTCAAAATTTAAATCCTCAAAAATCTTACACCATTAAGGGAAAACAAGCTTTTTATGAAATTTCAACTCCATTCCGAAAAAGGAATGAAGGATGGGTGGCTGGATCGATTCCCATCGTCCTTGGAGCCCGATGTGGCCTCATCCCACAACCCCAAGGACAAAAATAGCAGCTGGAAACACGGAAAAGCTATACAAAAAATGGACCAGCCTGCTGAAGGAGACGTTGGGATTATATTTCTATCTATCGCCGTGTCCTCTCCGTGAACTCGCCACCGCCTGAGGGATGTGAGGCGCGTATGGCATCGGTGGTGTCGTTCACGCATCTGTCGTTTGCCAGTCGTGTATTGCTCTATTTTGGGAGTCATTTGTTGTAGTTGACGCTACTGGTGGGTCTTCTTTGTTGAACAAGAAGTGGGCCGGGTCGGGAACATGGAATTGGGTTAAGTGATATTGTTTTGGGAATGTAATAGTGGGCTGGACGATTGTTGTTGCTGATTATTGGTATAATAGGTGTATAGAAGGAGTGGGCTGGCTGGGAAAAGAAAAAAGGGCCCAAAATGATCTTGCAACGGGTTTAATGTTTTGGCAAGGAATGGATTGGATTAAGAATTGGCCAAATGATTTGCAAAATTAGCCAATTGAATTTAGAATGTAACCAAATTGAATTTGATTAGCAGATTCGGCCAAAGTTCAAATAAAATGAGTTGACATTAATTAATTAACAAGCTTCTTAGTTTTGACAAGATAAAATAACTAACTTAATTATAAACTAATGATTCAAAATATAAACTACTCGAAAAATATTTTAAATTCTATAAAGTCAATTATTTTAACTTGTTTGGAATTTAAGAAGCTCAAAATTAATTATTATCGAGGAGGGTAAAAATTGGGTGTCAACATCAAGAACTCAAAATCAACTTATTTCAAGAATACTCAAATCTAGGGAAACTATCCTAGATTACTCTTTTACTGATACGGAAGTAGGTGTAGGGCATGAGGACGAACTATTCCAACACTATGATAGCCTTACATACCTGGAAGAACAAGGTTCTGGAAGAACAAGGTTCTAGAAGAATCTTGAAGATGAACTTGATTAGAAATCTTGAAACCCTAGCTTGAAGGTAAATGATCAAGAAAACCTTTCTTGAGATTCTTGAATTAGTTTCTTGAAATCTCTATGGCCAAGAATTATGATTTTCATTAGTAAAAATGAAAATCTGATTGTTTTGAGCCTTTTATTAATTAGTCAAGAAATTCATTTAAGGTTTTCTTGGAGGTAAAAAGACAAAAATGACCCTTTTTAATATTTTCCCGTCGGTTAATTCGTAACAACACTGTATATGTTACTAAAATAGTCATAATTTTTTACTCAGAAATTGTATTGACACGAAATTGGTGGCGTTGGAAAGTAGATTCAAATACTTTTAATTGGATAGGTTATGGATCACGTAACTCACTGTATTCTAAGATATATGGTTGTTTGAAGTTGACTCAAGTAGAATCTTACATTAAAACTTAATCGATAAGGAAACTTCAAGAACACTTATCAAGAACTCATCAAGAACTCTAATTTTTCAATTTCAAGAATGAAATTTGCGCCAAAAATAACATGATTGGCGTGTGGGTGAACGAACCAAACACTATGGAAGCGTACATACCTCTTAGGGGTCAAACCCATGGCGAAAATCCGCAACAAAACTCAAGAACCTCAACGAACGTCTTGATCCTTTCCTATTTTCTCTTCTTTTCTCTTCTTGAACTTTCAACTAAAACCCTAGGCGTATATTAGGATTATAAAACTGAACCTAATAGGATTAGACCCTTAAAACCTTACTAAAAATGAATTAAATCTGACTAGGTAAGGAAAAGATCAAAATACCCCTTACTATTTTCGGGTAACTTTCCTTAACTGGACATCTTGACTTCAAAAGGGCATATCTCACTCATCATACCTCGAAACTTAGAAAACTCTGTGGCGTTTGAAAGCTAATTCAAAGACCTTTCATTTTCCATCTCATGGAACACCTAACTTATCCTATATTGAGTGTTATGGTCGTTTGAAGTTGACACAAATTCATAACTTGCAAAATTTTAGATTTTGCTACTTCCAATTTAGCTCTTTTTGGAACTCAAGGTGCTACATCTAGTGACCTGACCTTAATACTTAAGAAATTTTAAATTTCTTGACAAAATCCTACTCACAACGAAGGATGGTTCAAGTCTTAGTCTAAAATTTTTTTGGGGTGTTATAAAAATGTATAATCCTTTTTACAAAATCATGGTATTCATCATCGTATCTCTTGTCCTTATACACCTCAACAAAATGGTGCATCGGAACACCGAAATCGAATTATAATTGAAACAGGACTCGCTCTTCTTTCTCACGCTTGTCCTCCTTTTCAATTTTAGGAGCATGCCTTTTACACTGCTACGTACTTATCCAATATTACCATAACTTCTTCTTTGTTTTATAAATCTCCATATCAATTACTGTACAAAATTTCTCCTCATTATGGTTTTCTTAAAATTTTTGGTTGCCTTTGTTATCCCTTTCTTCGACCCTACAATCATCATAAAGTTGATTTTCGATCTTTTCTTTGTGTCTTTATCGGGTATAGTTCTCATCACAAAGGTTGCCTTTGTTATCATGTTGCATCCTTTCGAATCTATATTACTCGCCACGTTGTATTTGATGAAAATACTTTTCCTTATTCCTCCATGTTGTTGATCACAAAATACTCTTATCCCTCGTCACATTCTAGCAACACATCTTTCTCTTTACTCGATCAAGCTTCTCAACATCTAGTACGTTCACATCAACAATGCGTTCTAAAATGGTGATCTCTCTAAGCAAGTGTTTATGGAGAAACCAAAAGGATTCGTTGATCCTCATCGGCCCCATTTCGTATGCAAATTGAACAAGGTCTTATATGGCCTTAAACAAGCACCACGTGCTTGGTTCAATAGGTTAAAGGTTTTTCTCCACAACATTGGCTTCCGCTCTTGTTTATCTGACTCTTCTCTTTTTGTGCAGCAAGCTTCTAAGCATACGACATATGTTCTTGTCTATATGGATGACCTTATTATAACTGGTAGTGATAGTGATTTCATCACTACATTTATTCACACTCTTGATCAACAATTCTCTCTCAAAGATCTTGGTTACTTCAATTATTTTCTTGGTATTGAAGTCTCTCTAACATCAAATAGGATCATTTTATCTCAATGCAGGTATATTCGTGACTTACTTCGTCGAACAAACAAGGCTGATGCTAAGCCTATTTCTAGTCCGACTGAACCTAGATTTCAACTTATTCTTTCTGGTGATCCTCTGCCTGATGCTCATTTATATCGTAGTGTCGTTGGTGCTCTTCAATATGTTACCATCACTAGGCCAGAAATATCCTACGCAGTCAATCGAGTATGCCAATTTATGCAATCGCCCATTATTACTCATTGGTCAGCTGTCAAACGTATACTTTGATATCTAAAAGGATCCATTCATAATGGCCTCTTACTATGACCTATGTCTGATTCTAGTCTTGTGTCCTTTTCGGATGCTGGTTGAATCTCTGATCTTGATGATAGTCGCTCCCAACATGGCTTTGCACTATTTTATGGAGGTAACTTAATCAGTCGGTCTTCACGAAAACAAAAGGTTGTATCCCGCTCAAGTACTGAAGTTGAGTATCGTGCATTAGCCTTTGCAACTATTGAATTAATCTGGGTACAACAACTTATTAGTGAACTATGTGCTCCTCTCACTGCACCTCCCATAGTCCTTTGTGATAATCTTAGTGCACAATTTTTATCTCGAAATCCTGTCATCCATCAACGATCAAAGCATATTCGTCTTAATTATCAATTTATCCGAGAGATGGGTGAAGATCAATCTTTAGTGGTTCGCTATGTTTTATCTCAAAATCAGATTACATATATCTTTCCCAAAGCTGTTGGCACAAGTCGGTTCCTCAATCTTTGATCCAAGCTCATGGTTCGCTTCTGAACATGATCTTGCAGTGGGTTATTAGAGTCCATCATCAACTAGAATTCGATTATTGTAGCTTATTCCTTGTAACAGAAGGATTACTCTTCCTTCAGATGTAATGACCCTCCAGGTCATTTTTGCCTTAATGCCTCCTTTTCGTCGTTTAGAGCGTTCCTATAGCGACCCCAAGTCATTTATGACTTACTGGCACTAACTGTTTGGTCGCCTGGTCGTTCGTTTGGATTTTGTGTAGTTTTCCGTGTTTTAGAGACCTTGAAGCTTGAATAGTTGACTTTAGTCAAAATGTCAGGTAAACGACCTCAGAATGGAATTTTGACAATTCCATCAGCTCCGAAATGGCCAAATTAGGCTGGTAGCATGGTTGTCATGAGTATCGAGGCCTGCAGTGCGAGTTTGGACCATTAGGCGTTTTAGCCTTGAAATTTGGCCTAAGGTTGACTTTGGTCAACATTCTTGGAAAACACGCTCTAATGAAAATTTTGTCAGCGCGGTTAGCCCCAGAATATCGTGTTTGGTCTAGAACGACCTTCCATTCGACTCCCGAGGCCTCCGGACTCATTCCGAGCCCCTCGGTGGATTTTGGCTAAAAATGGCCTTTAGGAGTGGGACCCACTTTTTATCGAGATGACCTCGTATGAAAATTTTGACTGTGCCATTGAGTCCGGAATATCAATTTTGGTATGATTGCATATTTCGTTTGTGTGCACGGGTTCCGAACGAGTTCAGAGAGTCCCGTCGGAGTTTTTAAGTTTTCGAAATATGCTGAAAATCTGGTGTATTGCAGAAAATTCAACACTTGTTCTAAAACTTTAAAAAGGCTTAACTCTCTCATTTTAAGTCTAAATTTAGTGATTCAAAGGTTCATTTTGTGGGGTTTTACGCAAGGAGTGCGTTAGCGAGCTCGGAAACTAATTTGGGGTCCCCGTTTGAGGTAAATTTCGTAAAATACCTGCTGCCATGACTCCTAGTTGTGAGCTTGATTTTCTAATTTTTGAGACTTGTTTTCTCAGCCATTTTAGGTCCGATTTCAGTGATTCTTAAGGCTATCTAGAGTGGTTTTTCGAGGAGAACGTCGTGGTGTTGTCGGAATTCACTGTAGACCATCCATTTCTGGTAAATTTACTGATTCAGTTGCTGTCCCATTTCTAATTTTTGAGAAAATTTGGGTTTTGGTTGCATGTTGGCATTGTGTTGTTTCCGTGCCCTGAATTGTATACACAAGTTCGGGGAGCTGTTAAGGACCTAATTTTGGGGTTAATTCCAGAATTTCCAGCGCGGGTTCCACTTTCCCCGTTTTGACCCCGAAATTGGTCCATTTCCGTTTGTTGTGATTTTAGTGTCTAAACGACCGTTATAATGTTGTGACTCTATTTTTGATAGCGTGGCAGCGTTTCGAGATCGTTCGAAAAGGAAAATCTGCGGAGGTGCAATTTTGGAGCGTGCGTGATCAGCCTACAGGTAGGCTACGACTTCCCTCTCTTAGATTGAGCTCGAGAGTGTGAATGCATGTTGATTAGTTGAGATTTGGGTTGGTATTTATTGAATTGTGCATAGGTGTTTAGAAATCATATTTTTGACCTATTTCGGGAATTATCGGGTAACTGTGAGCATGTTATGTGTTACTAATTGACCCTCCTTGCTATGTGGAGTACTTGCATGCTTGATTACTGTTTATTTGAAGTATGTTGGGCCTTAGTTTAGGTTTGACTAGTACTTGCCTTAGAAATGCATGATTTACTGATAGGTGATACGCTTGTTTCGACGATAGTTATCCTTATTTCTCTGATGCTATGACTTCACGAGTTATGTTGGCAACACTAGGTTCCGCTTCACGATTTGAAGTTGGTTTTCAATTTGGTTCTAAGGACTTACATTGATTGGCTAAGTGTGGACGGCGTTCCACAAACATTTATGATCATGGACCGATTGAGACTCTTTCAGCAGCTACATTGGCACCTTTGTCGGGCATCCGGATTCGAGCTCCGGCCTCGACCTCATTGATATTTTAGAAGAGCATCTGGTTCAAGGTCCGGCCTCGATCACGTGGATACTTATATAGAGCATCCGGTTAGAAATCCGGCCTCAGTTACTTGTGTAACACCCCTAAATACTAACCAAGAGTCGCATGTCGATTTACCGTTGCTTAATTACTAGAATATGTTTTAGTCTCATTTTGGGAACTTAAGTGTTGTGATAATTGCCCACTTGCTTAGCATAAATTCTTATCCTAATTTAAGGATTTGTGATGGGGTGTTTAGGTAATATTCTAATTTGAATTATGTTTAACTTTAAAAGGAAGGTGAGGGATATATATATATATAAGTGTATACATATACATTTTGGGCAGCACACAAATTTTTGGGCAGCACCTTTGAAGGACAGCTGCCCAAGGGATAAACATCACTTGTTGACTATATATTTTCACCCTCCTTTAGTAATTTCGTTTTCCTCAAGCCTTAGAACTTTAGAAACATATCTAAACAGAGTGTTCTTCAAAATCACAAGAAAACTTGGCCCTTTTTGGCTGGAATTCAAGAGCACACACTTCTTGTTGGTAAGTGTCGAAATTTGTTTCTGATCTGGCTAGTGTTTGGTATTTTATGTATATCTCTCGCTCTAGAACTTAGTTTACAGTGAGTAAATATGATTTGGAAAGATAATTCGTAGACCTACAACTCCTATGTTTATGTCGAACTCTGATTCAGCTGTTATAGACTCGAAATATGGGACGCAATATAGAACAAGTTTTGTCCAGATTTTGGAAGTACAAATTCTGTATGAACAGTTGTTAGTGTTTTGACTATATCTTGTTGTACAAAATACATTTTGCGGTGATTCTTGTTTATTTGAAACCCTAAGATATGTATCTACATATTTCATGAAGGTTATAAAGTCTAATTTTGCTGTTTTCCGTTTCAAATCTAAGTTGCGACATGAGGTACTAGGCTGGCCAGAATCACTGTTTTGGGAGCATTGTTGTGCTTATGCAAGCTAATTTTACTTGTGATGATGATCCTACTTTACATCAATATTATTGAGCTGCTAGGGATTAAAGAAGTTGTTTAATTGTATTTTAAAGGTTGTATATACTCGTGAACAAGTTGAGGACCTTGATACATTGGTTGGACTGTTTCCTTGCTAAATCACTGAAGTTTGTGTATAAACTTGTACTTGCACTATTTTAACCTCTAGTATATCTGAAATTGGATCTTGGTACCTTGGTTACCTCTTGTCACTTTGCATTGTCGTGTTGGTATCATTTAAGACGTTAAAGACGCTTGTGTAACTCGCCCACTTGTATGGATTGTTTGATCACCTGGCACTCTTCTTGGGACCTTGTCCTTCTTGTGGCTGTGACTTTGTCACTATTGGCATGCCTCTTGATTC